TAAAAAGGAGGAGGGGAGGAAGAAAATAATTAATTACCTCATTATTCTATCACCTATCGCTGTTCCTCTGATATTATATCTAGTAAAGGGAACAACAACTGAAGTCATTCAAAAATGCTGGGTATCATGTTTTTAAAAGGTTAGCATCTATTACAAAATTCCTACATATTCCAACTGAGAAGACTCCTTCTCAATGTGTTAGTATATGAGACTACTTTGATTTCAGCAAAAATAGTACTCAGATTACATAACAGTACACAAAGTTGATCTTATAAAATGCACTAATTCTTCATTGATCATAGTAGAAGTGGAAGCAGCTGTGTAATCATTTCCATTTTACATTCATATTTGTTTGAAATTTTAACCCACTAGTTTAACATTTTCCAGGCTTAGCCTCTGCTCATAGATCAGTTCTGTCAAAGTCCAAACAAAATTAATTCAGTCATTTAAGTAGGTAGGCAGCCCTCAGAGAGTTGTTTTGACTAATTTGTGAAAATTAAGATCAATCCATTAAAAACTGCACTTTCCGTGCACGAAGAACATACATTTTGCATAGATTATTTTTTTTCCCCTGCAGATTACAAAGTACGGTGCTAAGGCAAGCCATATTATCTATCTCTGTTCCAAATAAATTTGCTGAACTTAGTATGTTTTAAAGAAGATATGCTATGTGCATACTTCGAGACTTAAAAACCTGCATATCTCCTCATATTTGTAAGAGAAGGGATCTTTTCCTGTGGATTCCCTAAAATGCCCAGAAGGTTATTTTCTCTGTTAAGTATCTAGCTAAACTGCTCTGCTGTACAAAACAGGTTTCATTTTTTTAAATTTAGAAGTGTTCTGTGCAGTTCCTTATACATTTTGTTAAAAAGAACATGTATTGACTAGCCCAATGACAATAAAAAAATTAAATAACGATTTAGCTTCTTTTAGTTACTGATCTTCACCATTCCTATAGTGATGCTCAGTGGCTACAGAAATGCTACAGAAAAAAGTCAGATGTCACATTCTCAATTATTTCTTTCAAAGAAATGTCCTTCTGTGTCAAAACCAATCCTAGCTGATTCCTAGTCAACATTCAGCTGACTTAGCCAATTTATCAACCAAAGGATCATGGTATTTCTACACATTTTGCTGCTACTATTGTAAGTCCTTTTCAAAATATTAAAGCGGGTGCAAACTTTGCGTTTCCGTATCTGTTGCATAGTCTTTCCTGACAGTTCAATTTCAGGTTAGTTGGTGAGAAACTATCTATCCTCATTTTGTTTTGAGATTTATAAGCATCCACAAAAAGAGATTATGTCCCTTATATCTATTCATCTATTATGTAAGAGAGAGAAAAAGACCCAATCCTCAGTTTGAAAACATTAAAAGTTGGATTTGTACCCAAAGTTCAAAAAATGGAAGCTCTGTAAACATTAGATTTGCAAAATGGACAACATTCTATTCATAAATCTGAAATCTACATCCATCTTACTAAAACTAAAGTGAGACCAGCGGAGTTGATGCAGCAGGAAGTTCTCCATTTATTTAACTGCGGGTACTGTCAGAGCTATCAAAAGGGTATTATCTGCCACTTCTTTTCCTTAAGAGGAAGTTTACGATCATGATTTCAGAGTAAAGAATCAGAAGTCTACCCTTCCTTTCTCAACTGAGAAAGTTGTACTTTACAGTGGGAAAATGACTCCGAGACAGTTTCCTTTATCTTCATTTTCCCAACTGCAGTTTCTCCTCAATATAAACAATAGCTAGTTATTAAGTATATAAAAAACACAACCTAAAGAAACCTGAAACTGGTTGTAGATAAAACTAGTAATGCTATATACTGGAAAAGGCTTGTTAGTCAAACAGCTTTTAGCATTCTGTTTCAGAAGGCTACAGCCTCTTTTTTATTTTTTGTCCTAGAGAAAAATTAGAATTGAACATTTTTTTCGCCATTGCATAAGATATGTTCACAAAAGGTAGATATTGCAGGCTAGCCTTACAACCTTCTCCAGAAAGGAAAAAAACAAACAAGCAAATAAAAAAGCCCCAAAGCAACTCCCCCCTAGATATTCTAGAAAATGAAAATATCTACTTATTACTTCCATATTAATGCCATTAATTATCTTACAGGATCACACACTGGAAACTAAATTATTAGATAAACTTGAGAAAATGAGATTTAGTAAACGATTTAGTATTAGGTAATACCATTTACTAAGTGAGAAAAGAGAAAATGTAAGCCTAAAGGAAGCATACTGGTAGAGTTAAGCACCAGTCTTGCAGGCAATTTTGTTCAATATATTGCTAATAGTCTTTGAGCAAAATGTAGGAATGTACTCATGCAGTGCATCAAGGACATGAGGTTGGGTAACTTTATGAATATAGAGGGACTGTAGGACCTAGAGAAAAAAACATGGGGAGAAATTCACTAGTATAAAATTGACAGTCATACACTTCTGAGCTTCCTTCTGGTGAAAGATAAGAACACATTAATAAGAAATTATAAAGTAGGAAAGACTGCAGTATACTAATTGATCTTGTGTCTGACCACAAGCCACCACTATGAGAAAGCCATAAACAAGAGAGGAGAAGGATATAACTACAGCTCACTTGTGTCTCAGAGAATCTTCTCTAGACCAAGAGTAATACTCATACCATTAAACCTAGCAAAATCCAAACAGTGCAGAGTGCATAATTCTGGTCTACCATATTCAGGAAAGAAGCAGAACATGGAGGAGCACAGACACGAAAACCACAAATTTTTACTGCTAAGAGTGAGGAAAAACTTGGCACTCTTAGTCTAGTGAGACAAAAGCTGAAAATGGACAGGATGAACATCATTCAAATGATAAGCACTGGGCATGAAAAAATTATTTCAATCAAAACAGTATGTTAGCACAAAACAAAATTACTAACTTTAGTCTATTTATACCCATTATAGCAGCAATGTTTTGAGGTAGCTTCCCACTAGTTAAGGGGCCAAGGGGATTTTATATAAATTTGATCAGTTTATGAAAGGGATTATATGCTATAACAACTGTTGCAGTAGTAGTAGAGAGGACTTCCAGTTCTTTTCACTCTATTTCATATGAGAGATAAATACTAAGAGGGCTTATAGCTAGCCTTTAAGACCACCAGTGCCTGCTTTCTCTCTGGAAATCCAAATTCCTTTGAGCACACATAGGATGTCTTACTTTTCTTCCGTATCTCAGAGGGCATTTAGAAACTCCCGAAACCAGAAGAATAGCAGGGAACGTAATGTAAATGTATATCTGACTGCTCAGAAGTTAAACTAGAAAACTTCACTGCTTGCACACACGCAAAAGCAGAACAAAATGAACTGGTCAGGCATTAAACCCAAGTAATGAAAGCCTGAAGGCAATCCTAAACCAGTATTGACTACACAACAACTTTTGTCAGATTTTATTTGGGGGAAGAATAAGGTAGCAGGGGGCTGCATAAAGAATTTTAATTATATCATTAATTTAGCTGAATTATCTTTCCTATATGATAAATTTAAACTGCTACAGGAAGAAATCTCACTGCACACAAAGAAAGAAAAAAAAAAAAAACATGTCAGATGAAGTGTAACTTCATTTAAGATGTCCCCACTAGTGGGAAATTGTAACAGCTATATGATACCTGGAAGTGTCATTCTTATTAAATTACTACAAAAACTATTACATCACAGAGACAACATAAGGTGCATGAAGAGAAGCTAAAATAGGGACTGAAATTGCAGGGCTTTTCACAGCTTGCTCTTCAAACTCTAGATAGTAATGAAGATTGGCTTTGCAGTGGAAATGACTTCTGCCATTAGATATTTATCTACAATTACTTAGTATTGCATGGAAAGTTAATGGATTAAGACAGAATCTGTATATATTGGCTTTTTCATAAAAACTGTCTTTTACTGAGCAGAATTACTCGTGATATGTAATAAGCAACCACTGACTGTTCTCACTACTGACAATGTGGTGGCTTACTACTTTTTTTTTTTTTTTAACTGCAAATTATTCAAAACCTTTTCTATATACAACTATTAAATTATTTCTGATTTCCTAATGAATACATATTGTAATGCTTCCTGTAAAGGATTTGCATTGCTAGCGTAAGAAATTAATAGAAAGATAATGCTGCCTTTGAACAGGATAGGGGTAAAGCTACGGCATCTGACACTAGATTACATAACATCTAAAACAAGTAAAAAAGGTATTTTCTTAAGTCTAACAATAGAGATGTTGCTTAAATAATTATTACAGCTTTTAAAAAGTCCAAAAATTGAAATTAGCGAACCAAGGTATTAAACCAACTATACCAAATTGCGGGCTAAGTTTACTGAATGATCAAACAAGTATGTACAGCTGTTTATATTTTACAAGAAAAAAATACACAAAGCTTACTAAATGCATCTTTCATTAATGACAACTAGTAATCTACCCTTTTTTTTTACTGCCGTACATACTGTTATTCAATAACCAACAAAAGGAAAAGAATTACAGAGTTTCTCCTTCAGAGAAAAAGAAGCAAGAATGAAAAACTGAACACATCAGCCTTAATGTATATACTACAGACAAACACAGCATTGCTGAACAACAACAGTTAAAAGCTCTTGCTTTGCCAAAGTAAGAACATCTAAAGTATAGTTGATAGAAAATGTAGGTCCCTGTATCCTGTACACAAATTTATGAACTTTCTGTACTTATGACTACAGGGACAATAATAAAAAATTAACTGCAAATATTTAGCACTGGGGTATTCAGCAGGCAACAAATAAGCACAAGCAGGTATTAGATCTGTAGAAGCTTGCCTGGCTAAGAGGGAGAATATAAGCTATACATATCTTACATATAGGCAAATTAGACTCAGCCATCAAGCTCTTGGCTAGTTGTCAAAGAACAACTTATTTTAATTAAGGATATGATGCATGGGTTTCTAGAACTTCTGTTAAAAAAAAAAAAAAAAAAAAAGAAAGCATTTTGCCAAGCAATAGCAGAGATAAGTATTCCCCTAACCTGTGTCCTGGTCCTCCTCGATACCTTGCCCCTGGGATCAGAACAGGATCATCATCACTATCATCAGTTTCTTGGAGAGCTGAGGTCCTGGTAGAGGACTCGTCTGGAGTTGCAAGCCCTGAGGATTCTGGGTGTGGCTGAGGTTCATCGTTTGCAGCAAGCGAGTTGGCAGTGGATTCAGTACTTTGATTTGAAATTTCTTGATTTGCACTTTTTTCACAGGAGGCTTCTTCCACTCCATTTCCAGAGACAGCGTCAATACTGGGGCCATTTTCTTCTGGTTGGATTCCAGAATGCTCAGGACCAGCTTTATCTGGTACAGCAAACAGAAAATATTGGGGAAAATAAGTCACAGCATTAATGATTATAGCCTATTTTAGAAAACATTATAAATGGTCACAGAAGTTAAATTATGCCTACTGAGTTTATATTGGAAATTTAGGTTTTCATTCTCTACCTCTTCATATAGCTATATTTGAAAGAGTACAGATACATACTTGCTTCTGTCATCTCTACAGTTTCATCTGTAGTTTTCAGTTCTTCAGCACTTGCGTCTTCCTTGTGAGATTCATCAGGAACTCCTGAATTAAACAATTTAATACTAAATCACATTACTTCATTTAGATCCACATCTATAATGTAAGCAAGTCTAAACGATACTAGCACTCCTAGATCAAACCAATCAAAGCAATTCCCTCCAAAGTCCACATGTCACTTTACTGAAATCTCAGATACTAATCACATAAAAGTCAGTATATACAAACCTATTTAGTTGCCCAGGTCAATACATTAACAAAGAAGAAAGTATTTCTTTCTTGTTCCTTAATATACTTAATATCCTATGCTATGAGAACTTTAGCTGCAAAAATAGCATTAATACTCTTGAAACAGACGATCACTTACTGAAAGCTATTATTTCTGAAGCAGAAATTAAGCTATCCTGCTATTAAAAGGGATTTTTTTTTTTTTAAAAAAACATTTATCTGGAAACAGTCATTTGACTTGACTGCCCTTTTGGCAATGAATTGAGCAAGACAACCACATGTAACAAAATACAGTGAAAGCTTGAAATAAATGTAAAAAAATACCTAGCGGTCATTTATGACTGCAAAGCGCAGTTGTTCTATTTTTCGATACAAATTGGGGCAGAATATGTCCTTAAGAAAAAAGAATAAGGGTTTTAGAACTAAAGACAGGATAAGTTAATTTTGTTTATATTTATTCAGAACTATCTCAGGTTGGTATCTTTTTCTTTCCTAAAAAAAAAACAACCATGTTCTATTACGGCTGTATTCTGCCTTCATATGCATGTGTATGAGACTCCCATCGTGTTCAATGGTAGTCATGAACATACGAGAGCAGAATTTTTACCTTAACATTGCAGAAATACCACTGTATCTTACTTGTTTTTTCATCTTCAGGCCCTGATTCTTCTGAGGCTTTTGTTTTTATAGCGTCTTCTTGGCCTTCAGTTTTGCAATGACTTCCACTCCCTCTAGAGCTTGAATTTGTGCTGCTCCTGGCAACATAACATGTAAAAAAAAAAAAAAATTTAGAAATAATGTAAATAGATAAGATCATTGCAATAGCACAGCCTGACCTTCATCGTTTTTCTCATTGCAATCTCACAATTCAATAGCTCCTGGCAGCAGCTACAACTAACAACCTTCACAGCAATTTCAAAATTCTCTTTTATTATGTCCATCACCACTCATCCCACACTATTCCTCTGCATACAGAACCCTGTTCTCTCCTTCCTATCTTTTTTTTTTTTTTGAACCTTTAAAGGATTTCTTCATTGCTTTCCAAAATACTGTGAGAACTCAAAAGGATTTGCTTTCTTTCACTATTTACACATTTTTTACATGTATAAATGATCGGAGATCTTATTAAAGGTATTACAAGCTGTCAGCCGAACACTAATACATAATCTTATCCCATCCAATTAAAAAACCGATTCAGATAAAATTCTCCACGTTCTTCACCATTAACTGTCATTCGTGTACCTTTTGAGGCATGAACTTCGATGTCGGCTTTCAGTCCTCAAAGTTTTGTTATTTCTCAAGACTTACTATAAGCTGGTACTTGAGATTTACTCCCCATTCACGTTTAGATAATTATTGTGGAACACCAATTCTGTTTACAATAAGGAGAACTATTCCTCAGGAAATATGTAACGCTGCTGTTCTGAATGTCATCAAAACTAATGTTTTTAGACTCTCTAGAAAAGACCTTATTTTAGGAAATGCAAAAGCCTTGTTCCTGAGCTCTCCCATTCTCTCCTGTCCCACATATGTGTTGTGGCCTCAAACTTAGGCAAATCGCTGGACAAAAGTGGAAACAAAGATGAGTTATGAGAATTGTAAGCATGATTCTCAAGAATTTAGACTGTTACGAGTCTCTTCTTACCTGTGTATGTTATTACTAAACTATTTCATATGCTACATTGCTGGAAGCAGCACAAATCATGCTTAGTCTAGATTCTTGAGAATCTAGTCTAGACTTCAGTACTTCTATTTTTTACATTAAACATGAGAGCTTTTACTCATCTTGATGAGCAATAGTCTGTTTCGTTGCTGTACTGGTTTTGGAGTATGTAGAAAATTTTTGTTAGCCCTGTCCTGGTTTCAGCTGGGATAGAGTTAAATTTCTTCCTAGTGCTGTGTTTTGGATTTAGTATAAGAATGTTGATTACACACTGATGTTTTCGGTTGTTGCTAAGTACCCTGATAGTCAAGGACATTCAGCTTACATGCTCTACCAAGCGCTTGAGAGGCTGGGAGGGAGCATAGCCGGGACAGCTGGCCCAGTTGGCCAACAGGGTATTCCATACCATGTGACGTCATGCTCAGTATATGAATGGTAGGCTTGTTCCAGGAAGTTGCAATCGCTACTTGGTTATTGGTCAGCGTGGGTGGTGAACAATTGCATTGTGCATCACTCATTTTGTATATTCTATCATTATCATTATTATTATTACTATTTTCCCTTCCTTTTTTGTTCCATTAAACTGTCTTTATCTCAACCCACAAGTTTTTTTCACTCTTACCCTTCCAATTCTCTCCCTGTCCCACTGGGGGAGTGAGCAAGAGGCTGTGTGGCTGCCTGCCGGGTTAAACCACGACAAGCCCTTACAGTATTTCTTCTAAATCAAGAATTTTCAGCATTGTTTCTGAATGGACAGTCAAGAAGGGTACTGCTAGACACCAAGTCGAGGACTTTTGCTATTTCATGCCTCATATGATATAATCACTTTTATGAACTAAATCATAGCCTAAGAACTAAGATTTTTTTTTTTTTTGACTCTTAGCAATCTACTTCCTAGCTCAATGCTAATTTACATTCATGTATTACTCTGCTTTAGTTTTTACTTCAATGTTATTTTTCACACCAGCAGTTACATGAAAAGGATGTTTTTGAGAGAGCAAAAGAACACCCTGTGCTTTCGTTAAATTAAGCCCTACTATCTGCTTCCATAGCAGGTTTTCTGTTTCCCCAGTTCTCCGCATAACCCTTCTTTGAACCTCTGCCAATTTGAATCAGTTTTCTCGAAAGCATGACAAAGATTGCACACAACATTCTAAGTCACAAAGCAGAGTTGAGCAGCAGCACCAGTAATTCTCATCCTTGGCTGAAGTCTCCCAGCTGCTGACATCTAGGATCATAGTTGCCTTTCCAGTAGCCGCATTATATTGAGAATGAAGTGACTGGTAGGTCCGTGTCTTCCTCCATTTCATTTTCACAACACTCCCAAATTTCAGATTAGGTTTTTGTTATTTGTCCTCAACTGCATCATTTTGGTATATGGAATATACTTCTATTATTCCATTCTTCGGCACAATGTTTTTAGTTAGCCTCTGAACTGCAAATGCCTTTCAACTCTGTCCCGCTAGAAAATACTTCTTTCTCTCACTACCCACACTACACTGCCCACTACAAAAGCTCGATTAAGTTAGCTTACACTATGTTCAGTTTCTTTATTGATCTATCTGTCCCACCTTGAACGGAAGTTCAACATGCGGCAAAGCATCAAACACTTTCTGGAAATCCAGACAGTTTCTCTCTATTACACCATGTATGTTTCTAGAACCCATTATTCTATCAAATAAAAGGTATTGAATCATGCACATTCTAGTTCCCATAATTTTGGTTTATATCCCATGTGCTGCTTGTTTTAATATGCCTTTCTACCAGAACTGTCCTAAAGCCTTGAATATTGCTACCATTAGTCTTAAAAGATCACGATGTTTAGCCCTTCATTCTCCTTCGGTATTATAATTTGATGTTTGCCATTCACACGGTGCTAACCCTTGGCCCAAGAGATTTGTTAAAATACTTGCTATTAGACAGAATATATAAGTGAAGTTAAGTTTTAGTAGTTTTCACTTAGTCTTTTCTTCCCCAGTTGTAGATTTTTGTAACAAGTAATTTTCCTGTCCCTCATCTCCGTTCCCTGTACACTCTACTTTTTCTTAATATTGTTTTTGAGGTAGTTGTTGATTCAAATTTTCCATCTTCAGAATCACTTATATCATTAACTGTTTGAAGTGTAAAATGCATTTTTCAAATTTTGTTTTAAAATAAACACAGAAACAAAGTATTAATGTTGTTTAGTAAAATTTGCTTTCTGTGATACAGTGGTAGTAATGTTTTATTATTACATTAAAAAAAACCACTAGGACAAATTGACAAAACATTTGCTGATGCTCTGTTCCTCTTGTGAAATTTGCCTATCTTAAAACATTAAACAAAGATGACTACAAAACTAAATGCAGAATTAGTTAAAAGCATGACAGCAAAACTAATTCTTTCAAAGCTTGCTGGATTTGGACTCTAAAGAGAAATACAGTCTGACAGATTGGTTGAACATAATTATCATGTTACATTACACCCAGTATTTTAGATTCACATGGGCAAAGTCTTCATTCTTGTGAAAACACACAGACCACTGTTTAAAGTTTCCAAACTGCTATGGGCAAGGTGTATGTTTTATGTCTAAAGCCACAGCACTTGAGAGTAGCTAAATGTGGTGGTTTTTTTCTTCCCCAGTAACAAATGCCGGCAAGCATTTCTACTTACTGTCTTCTACAACAATTTTGAAAACATAAGCAAAGGAATAGAAGTAAGAGGAGATAAAATAAGGATTGTGGTTGTTTTGAGAGATCCTGAGATGCTCTAGCGATAGACTTCAATACAAAATGGAGTAAGTCAGGCCAGTTAGACATGCATTTATTATCTGAAAAGGATGCCATCGCTGTAATATCTAAGCAGTCCACAAAGTTGATATCTTAACCATATGCATTCATCAACACTCCTCAGACACAGAAATACTAATTTCACTGTTTTACAACTTGGGAACTGTGCCACAGAAGGACTAATTTGCAGAATACCATATGAGAAGTCTGGTAGAGCAGAGAATTAAAACTTAAAGCACTAGCCCCTGGACCACCTTTCCATCATTGTACTACCCTGCTTTAGTAAGTGAACACTAATATTATACTAGGGTTTGATGCACATAGCATGTTTCAAATTATGTTAGCATTAAAAAGATTCATGGTAAATATCACAAAAATAGCTCTTGCATAAATTTCATGTTAAAGTATGACTGTCTTTTACATTCTGAACGCTTAAGGACTACAGCCATTTCAAATTGTCTATATACACCTAAAAATATACATATACTATACAGAAAAATAATTTATCTGTATCTGTGCTAGATGAATGTTAGTGATATGTGCTGATCAATAACCAGTCAAAACCAAAATTAACTTCTTACCACTCATCAGTGAAGTCCAGTTTTATCGTGCTTGTAGTCGTTCCTTCTGTACTGTAGTGCAAACTTAAAACCGGTTCACCTGTTCCTGTTCGTGGTTTATCACTCTCTGTAAATATGGGGTTGATAAAGTTTGGATAGGCATCAGTAATATACATAAAGCTGTTATAATTCTGAAGATTCATTTAATTATCCTAACAAAGGCCAAATGTGGTAGTAACATGTACAACATCTATTTAAGATCTCTTACAGCCCAAGCAAAAAGTTAAAAAGTTTCAGAGTAAACACACCAAATTTGCAATGCTTTAAAAATGGCCTAAAATTATTTGTATTTATAAGAGCAGATAAAGAAGATGCTGTCCTTCAACATGCAGGTAAATAAAATTGCAGATAGGTATGTGTACCCAATATTATCCTTTATAAGCAGATCCCTTTTCTATCAAGTATATTCATAATAAGAATAAAAAATGGTTTTGGAAGTGGTGTTCAGTCTTTTTTGCCTCAGTAAATACACATGAAAAAAAGATGATGAGATCTAGACACAATTGGTGGTCTAAAAAAATCACCATCCCCTTTACTTTTTTTCTACTTAGAACCCAGTCAACTACCAATATCCTTAGACCTGCTGTAACTTGTCAGCTAGTTGTCATAAAAACACCGTAAATTCATGTTCTGAGAGCTTCGGGTTTAAAAAACCTTTCTTATTATAATAACTGTAAGCAGAAGGAGAGTACTTGTAAAACAAACTATTCATGATGTCCAAAAGCAACAGAAGTGAATCAAATTGAAAACCACTGCAAGTCTGACAAACATTTGCTGCATATATAGTTTTAAGGATGTTCAGTGGGCTCCTTCAAAACAGAACAGCTCAATGACATCCATCCACCCACCACCCTTGAGTAAAATTCATAGTCACAATCTATCTGTATGCATGGCACAATTGCCATTAATACTGAAGTTGGCCTTGGGCAATACTAAAAACTTAATGGAAAGTACCATCAGATTAAGCCTCACTACAGAGGTGCCATTCTCTCAGAACTCAGATGGGAGAGTTTACTTAGTATTAGGCACCACTCAATAGCCTATGTAGTCTTGCTTTTCATGAATGCTGAGCTTTTTATCTCAGGACTGTTTGGACAAAACCATGCCATATTTTCTTCGGCTTATAGAGTACAGAAATTTGACTATAAGTATACTTGCAGTATTGGCAGCAGACTGACACTTGTAATAAAGTAAAAGCTTCAGATCATCTTTGGGTAAACATCAGTTAAAATCTAATGTTCAATTCAAGTACAAACCTACAAATTCCCCCACTAAAAAGGCTATTAGTAAAACAGTAATGGCTACAATACTGCCACAGGATATTTATTTTTAAAAATACAATTAAGTTATAGGAACTATGAAATAGTACATAAGAATTTAATCTAACGATCAACGTTCATATTTTTAAACTGCTGACAGGCAGAAGCCCACTCACAGGATCAGAGCAGTGATCAGCTGCTCCAAAGAACTTTAAATATGTATTTCTACATATTCTGAAGAGAAATTAAAAAAACAAAACACGAAAACCCTGTAAGAAAAATTAAAATATTTTTATGTGAAAGAGAATTAACCAATTATAACCATGATCCTAATTTTACATAAGGCATGGGCCTCATGCTATGCGAAGAAAAGCTCATAGCCTCTCTAAAATAAAGGCTCCAGTTACACTCTTGTTAGAGTGGAGCAGGGATAAAACTGATCAAAAGCAAGGTTTCCAGTTCCTGAAATAAACTGAGAAAGAAAAGAAACAAATCTAAGAAAATATTTTATAGTGGCGTATATAGATATTTTGAACAAAAATGGTGTGCTCTTTCTTAACTAAACAGGTGCTTTCTCCATTTTTTGGCAAGCTATCAGCAAGCATCTCTTAGTATAAAAGCCTGTGCAAACTTTGAGCATCCCTTCCTAAGCAAATACTGATCATTCCAACATACTGCACAAGCCATCAGGAGCTGGACTCTGAAAGAGTAAAAAGTGACATAGTTGGAGAATTCTTTACCTTCTTTGTCATAGGCACAGACAAGATATATCTTTGAATTGGGAACCCAGAGTGGTAAAAACAGACAACTTACTGCCTTGAATAGTCCAAGACAACCACCAAACAATGACTATACTGTAACTTGATACTGCTATACAACACTTGCTTCAGCACAAAACTAGTTAATATTACTGACCAAAGTAACCAAACATCGCCATCCTATAATGAACCTAATTGAAAAAATGGCTTGTGTTATAAAGCTCTGATCATATTATCATTACAGTGCCTTCCTGTCTTAAAATCAAACATCAAAAAATTCAGCCAAGATGCATAAAGACTGTCCTCTGACTACACTTACTGTGGAAGCAATGCTCATTTATTCACGCTCAAAAGTTGGAAGAATTGCTGTAGACTTATCCAAAGAGGGCACTGACTGAGAAATTATTTTTACAAATTTCTGGAGATAGATAGCTGTTAAACCATATTGTGTAATAGCTTTTTCTTAAATCTACAATAACATGAGCTACAATTTGGATCGGGTCAGTTTCTTTTTTAAACTAGCTTTAGGGCATAAAATCGACACTAATAAGAACAAGAAACTTTCTAAAAGACAGATGAGACAAGAATCTGATAATAAACTGCACAGAATTAGTTGTGTAGTTCACTATTTTATATTAAACTTAAACTGCTAATGAAAGCTGAATGGGAGCCTCAGTGAAGAAAGCTAATAAGCTTTGCCTAGTACATAAATGAACATTCTTTTAGAGAAGCCACACAAAATCCAGAAGTCATGAACTCTTTGTTTTCAAGAACAATGTGGTTGCCAAAGACTGACTAGATCAGAATGAAGCGCTGTTCTCTTTCACTACTAGGTTCATCCCATCAGGCCAGACCTACTTCACATTGATAAAAAATGAAAGGAAGAAGAGGAAAAGTTGTACGGCTTCTGTGACTTAGGGGAGTGCTATTGCCAAAACTATTATCTGACTGCAAGCTCTGGTAGGATAATAATTGCTCCAAGAGAAAGTTGTAGTTTGTCAACACCTTACTAAACTCTATTCCAAATTCCTCAAGAATACCCTGAAACTCTACTTAGATTTTATAGCCAAACACATTATATTTTAAAGATACTATCAACAACTTGCAGTCTTATTTCATAAGCAACCCTGTCCTAGAACAGAAACTCCCATGAAATGGTCCATTCTCCAGGTGCCTACAGGAGAAAGGTACTTTTAACTACCGCCCTTAAAACTGAAGACAAAATTTCATTCATAACCTTATTTTTAAAAAAAACAACCCCCACAACTGAAAGCAATACCCCTCATACACTTTTTCCCTTAGAAAAAGAACCTGTGCAAGTATAACTTCACAAAGCTTGGGGCTCTTAACTATGAAGCGGTAAGCACATAAAGACAGGTTTACAGATTGCATTACCTAATTAAACTAACATTGTAAGGAACTTCAAGCTAGTTTCCCACAACTCAAATGCTGTCCTATTCACTAGTCTATTGGCAACCCCATGAGAAGAGGATAGATGACTTTTCATGAAAAATTTCCAAAATAATTCCTATCCAGCACTAATCATGGTCTCCTCATAAGAAAATCAGCTTTGTACATTCTGAAGATAGGTTTATATTCTGGGCAAAAACCAGAGAGTTACTTCTGAAGGGAGAAAAATTGATCCAAAGAGGAGAAAATAAATGGTGTACTTCAGAAAATAGGAATTCAACAGGAAGGCTTAACACATGAAAATTCATCAGAAGCAGCTGAACTCAGAGGGAAGGGTGGACATTCCTTTATCTAGTGAGGAATACTGACTGAACAATGTTACACTGATACCAGTCAGTATAAGGCACAATGACGTCTATGGGAAGACTGAAAATCAAATAATTCTTTGGACCAGCCTAATCGATAGCCCAAGGCATACAATCTCTTTGCCTAGATGATTCCTATACTAATTAGGTACAGTACTGCATTTTACCGAAGGAGGCAGTACAGACCACACTGTGCCTTACAATGAAGCACAGGTCTGAAATTCTTGAGCTTGCACCTGCAGAGCTCACTATAGATCTGGAGAGCTCTATATGCATACCAACGCTCAACCAGTTCGTCTGACTGGGAGACAGAGCTAATTAGCTGGGACACAACACGTGCCAATATAGTTTCAAGGACTTACAGTACTGTTTATGAGGAACTAACTCTGCCACAGCTGACATACCAGCTTGTTCCGGACCAGCTCAAGTATCTATAATGTGGCACTGAACAATCTGGTATGGACATCACCATAAGGGATTACTAAACCCTCACACCAACTTGCAAATATCTAGAAATAGCAGTAATCAGTATGGCCTCTCTCTCTGTCGGCAGCAGCATTAAGATGGTATGGGATGCATATACACATTTACACTTCAAAGTTACCGAGCTAGTTCTGTGGCTTCAGGTTCCCTCTTTAATCATACCAATTCAGGCAGTACCTTACAGTCGTAACATTGCCTTTACACTACAACAAATCTAACAGCCACCCTCCATTATTACAATCACAGTAAAAACAAACAAACAAGCAAAACAAAACCAAAAAAATCCACTGTAGAACACTGTAATCCATTTGAAACCATTTTGTACAGACGGGAATGATGTATAGCTTCTGCTGGACCATCAGAATAATGGCATTATAAATTTATGTGTTTGTAGTAAGTATCAAAAGATCTTTAAACCCAAAACGGTCTTAAAACATAAATGCCAACAGAAGAGACTGGTCCAACAGAAGACAGCTGATTCAGTACCAAATGAAGAAAAAATAGGAATAAGAAAGAGAAAACATTTCTATATAAAAAGAACTGATATGACCTCCTTCATTAGCTACTTATACTTTTGTGAGATGTCTGTTCAAATATGAAGTGAAACTAATGCAGTTTAACTTCAAAAATCCAACTGCATCTCAGCAAATTATTCTTTCTGGTTATCATCTGAACAACAGATTTCCTAATAAATTACCTCCTTTTCAAAATTCCAAGTTTTCCAAACTAGAAGTAACATTCTGTGTCTCTTCAGGCGATCCTTACCATCACAACAGAACAACATTGCCTTAAAACAATCAGAGAACTGGTCTACCAATAAAGTTTGGATAAACAAATTTATTTGGGGCTTTTTTGCATATTAAAAAACCTGAGGTGCTTTTATGAGAGAAAACCTCTTCACATTAGTTCAAGTAATTTCTTAAGAAAGGAAAAAATTATTAGAAAAAACTCCCAAGAGTCTATGGCAACTATGGGTCTATTACAACTATGCAATTAACAATACTACTACACAAACTAGTCTTTAAGGCAACTGATCCTGCTTGAAGAGGAATCTGATGCAGATTTGGGAACTGATTTCTGGGACCAAAACTTCTCGTTTTATCTTTGTTGTCAGATGGGCTTAATTCACAACTTCATGGAACAATTTATCAGTTTTCCAAAAATTTTGCAGTTGTAAGAACTTCAGTAAACATATAGACTTTCTATGTTAATTCTAGTTTATTCTACTCTTATCAAATAATGCTTTATTCTGAGTTCATAACAGACAGCATAACTTGGCCACTAATCATAAGCAAGTTTTCCAGCTAAACCTGACTATCGGAATGATGTAGACTACTGAACCATGAATAATTAGCAAATTTACACATTGAGGTTTAAGGCTATTTCATCACAAAATGTAATTCCACGAAATGAATATATTTTGTCAATATAAGACACAGCTTGATTTTTTCCCAGTGTTTTGGCATCCTAAAATAAACCATAATCTCAACAGTTGCCAAACAGACTGTTTTTCAGAAATGGGATTTCAAAACACATTCTATCTTAGAGTGTGAAACAAGATGAAACACCCAGCTCTTTTGTGGGATTTGAGCTATGAAATCTCTACAGAGGCTTTGATACGGAAGTAAGCATAATGCAGAGTGTATGGAAATCTATTTTTAAATTACCATCTATCACTCATTAATTATTCAGGCATAAATATTCACTACAGATAACATTGGTTCAGCTGGAATAGCGTACCTATGGCCCACTTCACTGCTCACAATTTGAAGACTGATGAATAATGGGCATAAAGAAAGCTCACAAGTGTTTTTTCTACCACCAGCCCATAGGGCATCTATAGAGAAACACTAGTACTTGTTTAGCAGAAGGGGTGTAGGACAAGGAGTTACAGAGGTAAGATGCACATAAGTGCAATAGGAGCTCTTGAGTTACTCAAACTGTGCAAGTATAACAAAGCTGCACATCTCCCTTGCATAAGATAAATTAATTTGGCATTATATGATTAAAAGTCACTTCAATCTTGATATTTGCACTTTGATCCAAGAAGAACCATTCAGAAAAAGACTGTTTAAAGAATTAATTTTACTTTGCATTTAAAAAAATATTCTAAATGTCTGTAGAGTACATAAGATGTTTACTGTACCTACATTGAACACGTTAAGAATTGAGCATAGGATGGCTTTTGAAGACAACAATTAACCTTACTCTGTTACTCGTATTGAGAATTAAATAGTCAATGAGTTTCCAGCAGATCTGCTTACAGAATTCTACTTTATGTAGATGAACAGCATTTTTAGACTGTTTATCATCATGAAAGGCAATTTTAAAAGGAAGCATTGCAATCAACTATGGCTGGGTATAGCGCATTTCCTGTCACACGCACCCTGTTGCTCATCAAGTGACATGGATCCAAGCTGTTTGTTAACCACAGAAGAAGGAGAATCTGAAACAAAAACGAGATTTCAACTTAAAACATAAGCAGCAGAGAACTGCACAGCAATGTCACGATCATATGTTAGTTTAAAATAAAAAAAATAAAAAGCAGCAACATAAGGAAGCTTTGGGTTTGTTTTATGAGCAGCCAGCCATATTGCATTTTCTAGGCATGACAGAAGCAAAGCCACTTGTTTCAAATCATTATGTATTTCTTTAGGTAGTCATTGAACAGCCTGAAGCTTGCTGACATGTCAATATTAAAAATGCCTGTCCATGACCAAAGATTTTACTATGTTCTTCAAATTTCTATCACGTCTGGAAAAAACACTGAAGAGTCATGACTCCTAAAGCCTTTGCTCCAACTACCAAATGACACTAGTATTTCAAACCATGTGCTAAATGTAAATTTCAGAATATTTATACTTCAACATAAAATATTCAATGGCATACCAGTATCTTTAATATTTATACCTATGAGCATAAAATGTTAAAGATGACACTGTTTACAGATATAACAGCGTATAGACTGTTTTTAAAACATTAAAGCACGAAAATACATCCCGCTCATAGGACAGTTCGATAGTTCTGCATTCCTAGATGCTATACCTCTGTGGCATCTGATGACTGAGAACACGTCTTCGCAAGTTTATCACAGTACCACACCAGACAGTCTTATAAAAATCCTCATGTAATCACAGCAAAAAACCAAAACAAACCAAAACAAAAACCCCAGCAGTTAAGTGCATTTTTTTCCACTGGACACTACCCGTTAATAACTACCATCAGCACTGCGTTCATTGTGCAGACAAATGACACATGCATCATTCAGTATCTTCTGTGAGTCTATTTTCGTCGTCACCTCTGTAGACCAGATCTTACTTCTGTATTATCTTAAGATGAGCTGATGTACATAAATTAGTGCAGTGTTTCAAAGATATTGGCTAGGCTACCATATCTTGGTTCCATTTGTTAATCTCTGTTATAAACAAATTCATGCTAAGCTAAAAGGATTTAATATCCTGTATTATAAACTGAGTCATAGTCTGCCAACATCACAGCACGCTAAAGGAATTTTAACATAAATTTAAATCCTACACAAGGAAAGCAATGAAATAATACACTCTCTCCTATAGGAAGCTCACTTCCAGGTTTGGGCCAAAATCACCAGCATGACCTATTTTGTAGTACAGCCATAAACCTGCTAAATTGACAAAGCTGATTTAAATATATATCCTCAAATGAGGTTCATTCCCAGCTGTTGGTGCAAGAATCAGTCTGTTCCTTCGTTACACTGATACCTAGTGTAGGGGAGGGGAGAAGGAGTGAAGAACAGAGACCAAGAGAGTCTGAGGCAAGCTCAGTGTGTTTTGGAGCTGGCTTGTTTTGGTAACTGGGCTTATACATTTTATTTCCGTAACTGGGAAACATAAAACTGATCCTGTTTTGTCTTCACCTTTGTTCAGCTGTGCCCGTGCCTTGAGCCAAACACACCTAAGCCACACCACAGAATTTGTCATCTAGATTTAGATGGGACGTAGCTCTTAAGTATGAGACTTCTAACATTAATATATTTCACTTTCCAAAACTGAAGTGTGCTTTACATATAATTTCTAATTTAGAAGAGAAGAATTTACAGCGGAGTTGTTTTCAATGGAGTAGTCATCCACTTTTTAGAATGTAAATCAGAGCAAAAAGCTGGTGTCATAAGATGATCTACTTGTATTCCAGCTGACTCAGCACAGGAATTGGTACGCCTCTCTCAAGGGCAGGCTGGCTTTGATCACTGACTCACAGTTATGAAGCCCGTGATTGGGATTAACTTGTATCAAAAGTGCTAAAGGAAGGGGAGGTCTTGGACAGCAAGCTGAGAAGCCTAATGACAGAAGACAGTGCTTCTTTCTATAAGCTTATATGTCCTTTTTTAAAAGGCATATCATGCTGCCAAACATTTTACTTGGCTAGAAAAGCTAATCTCATCAGCTTTTTAATTCAGACCAAGCTGAACAGAAGAAATATGACTGAACTAACATGTTCTAATTGTAAACATAAGAAATGACATTTACTACCCTTATCAGCACTTCTAAATTTTATTAAGACCTCACATTATACAACAGTAAGTAAAAAGTAGGTATGTTTTACCATGTGCATCATTCAATCACAGTAAGTGAAAATGAAAAATTTTCTAGGTAGTAGTCCATGCCAACGTAGGCTTAAGCCTCCTACATTTCACTATTATTTTGATGTCTTCTTACAACTTTGTGAATGCATTTCACTTGTAATATGAGAATTTTTAAACAACATATAGGAAGCATCCTAAATATTCCAATTTTCATGGTTAAGAAAAGAGCTCAGTTCGTAGCAATTTTAAACTCTCTTTTTTTCCCCTTTTTCAAGTCCTGTGAAGCTACAGATCACCAGCACCCCTTGAAGTGGCACTGCAGTCCGGAACCCCACACCTCAGGCAGGGAAATAAAGATGACCACAAAACCAGCCTAGAGAAGTTCAGGTAAATGCCTCTTTTTTTAATATATGGCTTTGTTTTGTAAAAATTCTGAAAAAGTACTTTCATCATTTCTGATAAAGCTTTTGAAAAAAAGTATTACCAAAACTGTGCCATATAGTTAAAAAAACAAACAAAAATCCAAACTCTTACCTGAGCCTTCACAGGCTGGGTCTACATCCCAATGCAGTTCACCACTGGTTGTAATGTCACCAGTACATTCTAAACTGGACCACCACTTAAAGAGGGAACTGGAGATTCATAAATTTGGGGAACCTCAAACAGAAAATAGAAGATAATTTTAAAGTCAGTTATATGCTGAAGGATCTTCCTATAGTTTGGGCAATCAGCACCTGACTTCATCAAAATATTAGCATGCCACCTGTATTGTTTTGGTTAAAAAAAATTCCTCCTTATATCACTATAACCCCAGCTCCAGTGTGAGAGTCAGGCCTAAAGCAGTGAGACCTGTTTTAAAGTCCTAAACATGGTACATATAGTGGACCTTAATCTAAGAAATTAAATACTTGTATTAATAACTAGGAATAATTGCTTTGCACAGTGAATAAGCTCTCAGTTACATATTTTGAACTTGAAATGGACGCATTTCTACATCTAGGTGTTTACAAAGAATGCAAAGAATCCAGTAATAAAAACTGCAGTCATCCCCTGTTCTTCGCAGAAAGCTTTAACACAGAAATGAAGGTCCAATTTGTTCTGCTTTAAAGACACTGACCATATAGACTTTTGAAAAAAGTTCAAAAAAGAAAGAGTAAAGTCAATGTGCGTCACAGGTTCTGCAATATGTCAGCATGCACATGTATATATCTTTATTCCACAATAAATGCAGTCTAAATCAAATTCATTTTTCCTCAAAAAAGAAAGGTTCACATTACTTCATATTTTCGTGGGTAAGATTATGCACACTGACCGCTACAGGAACCCCTGATGCACCGATAACAACACTGATTTATTTTTTCTTTTTCGCTTCAAGATCAGCTGGTTCATGTTTCTGTAACTTCTCAAATTGCATTCGATTCACTTAAAGTTCTCAAAAAGAGAAGTGATGTATGCAATGGCAATGCATACACAGCATATCAGCATTGGGCAGAGCAGCAATAACAACAGGTTAAAAAGGTTTATTTTCTTTGTAGTTTGCAGATAGCACACATATGCTGCTGTTTAAATACTGCACAGGATCTAAATGTTATGAAATGCCACAAAAATGTAAGTAAGTCAAAACTAGGCTTTGTTAGAGAAAGTATATAATAAAAAAAAAAACCCAAACCCTTACCATAGTTCCCTGATTAAATAAAGCAGATATCAAAAAAATCTGAATCTGTTCAATACCTAAGCAAAGGCTTGCAGACAGAATAGACCTGATACACACAGCATATACTGCTTCTAAAACTCTGCCAAATTTACACAACACTTACGAGAGGTATCCACTAAAACAAAGTCTTTTTGCCATCTGAGGATGAAGTATCTTTTTCCTCAATGTCAAATCAGCCCACTATGAATCATTACTCAGTTAACTCACTTTCACATTCAACCACAACATAAACTTTTGACCATGTTTTTCTAAACAGTGAAGGTTAACTATTACAGATACTGCTTGCAAATCCTCATGTAACTATTACAAGTCTTTAGACTAGGAGACAGAATAACTACCATACAGTCTAATTTTCTATTAAACCTGTAAAAGCTTCAGCTCTTGACATTTTCTACCAGTAATTTCTTACATGGCTGGAGTATTTTTTCTCCAGCCTGTGTCTACAGCTGTAATTGAACTTCTGTGATTGCAAAGATAAGGATTAAGAATGAAACACAGGTCAGAAGAAATGGCCTTCGTCTCACACTGAATACCCCAAAAAATTGCAAGTGTAAATTATACAAGTTTTGCCAGAGTAGGGATTGAGAACTTGCAGCCCTGGGCCAGAGGCTATGACGCCATTTCACATAGTGGCAGACACATTTTACGGTATAATTTTTTGTTTCAAAATTTACAACTAGTATGTGCCCAAAAACTGAACATCTGCCTCAAGACAGAGCATCAAAGACAACCTTGCAGAAAAAAAAAAAAGATAGAGATTGTCCCTGTTTATTATTAAAAAAACCCCCAAAACTACGAACTACTACTTCTCCTACCACATTTCTGAAATGTCAACTTACCACAGCGTTGGAAAACAATTGTGTCTTTGGAGAAGCAAGAAACCAAAAATCTGCAGCTGTAATTTTCCAAAGGAATAGATTGCAGATACACATCTTCCAAAAATAAGTCTTGGGAGGTCAGAAAACAAAGTAACTTGCATAAAAAGAAATGAGCAAATACAGAGAATATTTCCATGTCCAGAGTGCAGAAATCGTAAAAAGTAAATAGACAATGCAAAGATGATCTTGATTCCCCAATCAAAAGAAACAAGTTTCATTTGTTCCCTCCCATAATAGGGGAAGGAGGAATACAATGAAAGAAGCTCATGAAGCACAACAGGAATTTATTGTGTTTA